GGGGGGGGCCCAGGCAACCAATATTGTCAATGGGGACCCAGTATGCGCTTGCACCTTGTTGTTGTTGTTGTTGGCGTCGGTGTCATTCTTCATCTTCTTCTTCTTCTTATCACTGGTGTTTTCCTGCCATCTTCTTTTTCCTCATGTTCTGGTGGGTCTCCTTCGTTTGGTTGTTCTCATTTCGTCTTCTTCTTCTTTTTCATGTTGGTCTCCTTCCTGTTGTGGTTCTCGTTCCGTCTTCTTCTTCTTCTTCTTTGCCTCCTTGTTGCTGTGGTTGCTGTTGCTCTCGCTCTTGCTGCTGCTGCTGCTGCTGCTGCCTCTGCCTGCGGTTGCTGTCCAGGATTCAGCTGCGCGCAGCCACCGGCAGCTGAGCCGGGCCATCAAGCGCTTCGACGACAGCCTTCAAGAGTTTCTTGGGCCACAGAAAGTTTGGGAGTGATGAGAACTTAAGGGTCAAAAGAGGGAGCAGAAGATGCGAGTCCTCGCAAGGCTTGTGGATCTGGTGCTCTCCTCGGCATCCTCGGGTTCGAAGCCAGCACCGGCTCGCCAAGGCACTGGGGCCAGGAGGGGTTTCTTCTTTAGCCAAGTCGAGTCTCAGTGAGAGTCAAAGGCCAATGCGATGAATCCTGGCTCCCTTGTCAGGCATCAAGTTCACCAAGGAAGTGTTTGCCGTCGACGCGGGAGAAATCTCCGGACAAGTGGTCTGGATCCTGCCCATCCTCGGGTTAGCTGGCATTGATTTTTCATCGCGAAAGGCTACGGGGCGGGTCAGCGACAGCGCTGGGCCAAGAGGGAAACACATACCAAAGGCCATGTATTTAGTAGTGGCTTTTTGGCTCAGGCGACGAGTTCTGGGGAAACGCTCAAGCAGTCGTGGGAGCTCTGTATCAGGCTCAGGAGGACTCCTCCAGAAATGTTTCAGACTGCAAGGCAGACTTCGGCCGATGCTGACGCCTGTGCGTAATCTGTCTTTCTGAGGCCCTCCATGCTTGGGAGTCTTGAGCGGATGATCGGCCAACAGCTGCTTCCAGATTCGCACCCTGATCGGAAAATGTTGATCACCAGTCGTCGTCTTTCGCGGCTTCTCAAAACCGTAGGCTTTGCCTCTCTGCGGCTGCTGGCTCCGGGGTGCTAGAGGCGAGCGTTTCTAGAAGTTGCAGGGCTCCGGGCACTGGGGCACAAGGTGGGGGGGGGGTTTCCGATTCGGCGCGCAGGTGGCTGAAGACCTCTGCTCCGAAGCCGAGTGCTGGCCTGAGCGCAGAAGCCGCATGGCTTGCCCTGCACCTTAGAAGCCGTCCGATGCCCTGGCTTTCTAGACCTTTCCTGCTTCGGCTTCAAGGTCTGTGCTGGAGTCCTTGCAAGACCAGGAGACGACCCTCCCGGTGAAGCGAAGAAGACTTCAGGGCCTGAAGGACCAGCTGCTGCAGATCGCAGCTCCGAACAGTTTCTCCACATGCCAAGCCTGCGAGCCCCTAATATCGCACCAAAGCATAGGTGAGGCAGCTGCACTTCAGTAAGCACCTTCATTACCGTGACATGGTGTTCACGGGTTTGGCTGTTTTCGACCAGGCAACCTAAGAGAAGTTGAGGGAGCTAGTTGTTCCTCAGGAGATCTGCAGCAGCTTCGGGTTTGCCAGAAGCTCAACGCCTTGCTTCGTTCACATCAACGGATGCATGTATGGCACAGACACTGGCACGCTGTGTCAGACATCGTGACCTTCATCCTCCCACTCCGTTCCTGCCATGATCGCACTGCACAGACGAGGTCCCACGCCCTGTGCACGACTCTTCCTTCGACGTCGCGGATTTCTTCTGCTCCATACTTCCCATGCCGTTTGTGGCAGACCGCAACTCAGACACCCACGGTGGGGCGATGCATCCTTGTCACCAAGCATGTGAAACGATCACTCAGCAGGCGAGTACACAGCATGCTAAGGTTCTGTTAGTCTGTTCATTTTTCGAGGAGGTTTTTCATGCTTGCGTGAACGATACGATGATCCGACGCAGCGAAACGCATCTTCCTGTCGAGCCTAGGAGAAGTGCGAACGGAAAGTCGAGCAAGAATCTGCATCAGGCCGGCCTCACCCGAAAAGATGAACGACCAGCCTTGTGAGATGCGTTCGTGTCAGGCCGGCAAGAGGAGCCGCCTCCGAAGAAGCAGAGGCACGGACATTTTCGATGTGTTTCCGTCTCGCTTCGAGCCTTGCCCCTCCTGTAGCCAGGCTGCGTCTGCGGTCCAAGCAGCCCCGTGCCTGAAAAGACTTGAAAGTGGGTCTCTTTGCATCCGACCGCCCCCGAGGAACCTTGGCGACGCTGACCCTGTGCAGGTGCAAAATCAGGTCTCTGAGGCAGCTTCGCACACAGAGCTGGTTCAGCGCAGCTCACGTTTCCATTAAAGTTGAAGCGAGGGGAGATGAGAGAAGTCGTTACATGGTCTGATTGTTTCCAATCGCCTGTCTGAAGCGTGCCTCCTCTCTAAGAGGCCAAAAAGACTCTGCCAGCAGGCTACAAGCTCTTTCCTTGAGGACTTCAAGACTGAGGTTGAGCAAGCCTGGGCGAGGCTCAGTTGCTGAGTTTGGTAGTTGGGAGAGCTTGAAAGCCCAACAGAGCAGCAGGACTGAGGACTTGATGTACGAACTTCTGCATTTGGCCGGGGAGCTTGGTGACATTGGGCGGTGCAGCCAGGATGACAAGCTGCACCCCTCAGGCATTGCGTCTGCATTCCATGAAGAGCCGACCAAAAGATCTCACAGCCGGGGAGATGCAGGCCTTTCGGTCAAGGTCCCTGCTTGGGGGAGTTCGAGTTCTGGCCCTTTTTCCGGTTTGGAGGTTTGGCTCGGCCTGGCCGCAGCTTCCATCCAAGCCGTCCGATGCCACCGCGATCGCTGTGTGGCCTTCCACTCAAGTGCGAGCAGTCTCGAATCCTCTCTCCGCCTCCTTTTTTTTTTTTCTCTCTCTCTCTCTCTCTCTCTCTTTGTGCCTGTGCGCATCCTCAAGGCCTTTCAGAATGCTGTGGTGAATCTTGCTGACACTTGTGGTGCCGGCTGCTTACTTCTTGTCTGGGCATCTTCGACTAGGCTAGGCTAGGTTCGTAAGTATCGACTTGCGAAGTGTGCGTGTGCGGGAAGCACGTTGACGGCACTCGGCACTGCAGGCGGGCATGACGGATGTCTCCCTGAAGGTTCCGGGAGATCTTCTGCGAAGGGTCTTCGTGCTGTGTTTCTCTCAGAGCCAAGAGGCGAAGAGTGCCAGTCTCGTTCATCAGCTCAGGCTCGACCGGCTCTTGGAAGGTGCGCATCAAGCACGGCTGCTGGGGAAGGCCGGCAAGGCAAGGCCCTCTCCGCGAATGGGCCCGTAGCCCACAGCATCCTACAGCCGTGAGTGAAGGGCTCCTGTGACGAGCCTGCAGCTCGGAGATGTGCATAGCTATGGCATAGAACCAAGAGTGGCTGCTTCTAGTTCCAGCTTTTGTGCCGAGGATGCAGAGTGCCATCGGGAGCTTCGAGTCCACTCTGGCATTTGTCCACCACTCAGCACCACTCCAGAGATGCGCAGACTGTCTCCAGTCCCTGGCACCACGAGGTGCAACACACGGAGGAGTTTCGCTGCTGTCGAGCAGGAGCAGGGGCCCGAGCTGACCAGAGGCTGACCAGCGCCACCAACTTGTAGAGACCTGGAGGCCGCTCCTCCATCTTCGCAGCACGTCAAGGAGAGCGAAGCAACAACGGAGCCCGCTCTGAGCTTCGAGCCGAGTTTTGCAGAGAAGCTCTGGAGGAAAGCTTCCTGCGCAAACTCATTGAGAAGGCAGGCGGTGCTCAGTCAAAGTACGTTGGCAAGCAGCTCTTTGCAGTGGCTTGGTGATCGCAGCGCTAACGACTCAAGCCTTGCCCAAAGAGGCAAAGTGCTTGCTGCCGCTGCAAGCCTGCGCGGCACATTCCAGCCTGTAGAGCTCGTAATGACTCCTGTTCGCAGTACTTCAACACATGCGAGGCCCTACCTCTTTGGCTCTTTTTGGTATTATATTCGCCTGGCAATGAAGCACCTTCCAACGTGGCTCAGCAGAGGAGAGCAAGTAGATGTAAGTTTAGGTGCTGAGCCAACCTTGCGACCGATGACGCCATGGCGATTGGCCTGGAGGTGGAAAATCCACAGGAAGCAACTCCATCTGAAGATGGCGCCTCGCCTTGCCAGAATCGTCTGTCAAAGGCGTGTGTAGCGAAAGATGCCAGTGCTTCCCCCCCAGATTTGCTGGCCGTGGAGCAGCCGGCCGAGCCTGCCAAGCTTCTCGGCTGCAGACGTCGCCTCAGAAGTATTCGCGACATGTGCGATGTTGTTTATGGCTCCATCACCATGTAAACGCGCAAAACCGACATGACGATTCCATGGGTATTTACGGTGTTTGCCTTACTTCATGTGCTGCATATATCGATGGCGTCGGCATTCCCGGCGCCTGCGAATTCACGAATTCTGCATCGGTATTCACGGCATGTCCTTTGCAGTACCGAAACCATCGGTATTACGGTATTCGCGATGTTTCCTCTACACCCAATGCCCAAAACCTTATGACGTCCATGGTCTGATCCGTTTTGACAACTCAGAATCCATGCCCAAAGCCTAACGACGTCCATGGTCTAATCCGTTCTGAGAACAGAGCATCCATGCCCCAAACCTAATGACGTCCATGGTCCCATCCATTCTGAGAACAGAGCATCGATGCCCAAAACCTAAGGACGTCCATGGTCTACCCCGTTCGGAGAACAGAGCATCCATTTCCAAAACCTAATGACGTCCATGGTCTAGTGCGTTTGAGAACAGAGCATCCATGCCCAAAGCCTACTAACGTCCATGGTTTGACAACAGAACCCCAAAACCTAATATTTTCATTCAAGCAACCCATCCTTCTGGGGGCTGAAGGGGCGGAGGTTCCGGTTCCGGAAGGGGACCTGGACTTGGACGAGAAAGATGTGGATGTCGTGTCTCCCACTCGCAAGCGCGGGGGGCAAGGGGCGACTCGAGCCGGAGAGCCCAACCCAAAGAAGGAGAGAAGCACGGGCGACACTGTTACTCTCGATGTGGCCAAAATCAGAGGGCTCTTGGTGGAGCAAAGCAAGGAGCTCCTTGCTGCGCAGCAGGCCCAGCTTACCAAGGCTGTACAGGAGATGGAGGCAAAGGTCGAGTCCCGGGTGTGCCAGGTTGAGGAGCAGGTGGCCTCGCTTGCAGGGCAGAACGTCGCCCTGGAGGGCAAGGTGTCCCAGTTGGAGAGTGCTTTGCAGGAGCTGGCCAGCACCGTGAAGGCTGGTGGGGCTGGGGTACATGCGCCCCCGGGGGTGGATTGGGACCGCCGGAGGTCTACCTTGGTTATCGGCGGATGGCCGCGTGATAGCAGGAGACAGACAATCCTGAAGGAGTTGAATGAAGCTTTCCGCACTTTGAACCTCGGGGGGGAGATTGATCAGGACGCTTTCTGCACTGGACCCAGGCGATCTCTTGCTCTCCTTCCAATGATGACTCGCCCAAATGAACCCGAGGCTGACAAGCGAGCACGGATGTTCAAGGTTGTCTCTGCTTTTGCTTCGAACCAGGTGATGAGCGGCGCAGGGACCAAGCTGTGGTGCAGCTTTTCCAAGACTCCTGAGGAGCGAGCTGTGGCGGCACATGCATCACTCATCAAAAGGGTTGTGGCCGAGTTCGATGCTGACCTTGCCCAGAATAGCTTGGACTTTGAATACAAGACGGGGACGGTGTGGGGTCCAGATGGTATGCTGTGCTCGGCTAATCTCCCTGTGCCCCCTAAGCATGATCACAAGAACATCGATGAGGTCGGTGAGGCACCGCTCCGGAAGTGGATTGATGTGGGGTTGCTGGCCAAGCTGGTTTCGAAGCCCTTGAAAAAGGTGCGGGAGATGGTGGAGCAGTGCCGTCGCTGAGGAGAGGCCTTGGGAGCGGTGCACAATCACCTCGCGCTTGTGTACAGTGGGGATGGAGTTCGTCCTAATGAGGGTGTCTTCTCAGGGTCTACGAAAGGCTTCGACCTTGAAGAACTTCACACTGCTCTTGGTCAGATGAAAACTGGCAAGTCAGTCGGGGTTGATGGCACCTCAGCAGAACTCTTGAAGGCTATCGCTGACCTCCCCGGGGGGCCTGACCATCTTCTTGAGTTCATGACTCGGACCTTGGTGACCCATGAGGTCCCTCGGGACTGGAACGTGCCCCTCATGGTCATCCTTGCTAAGGTGGGTACGCCCACTGAGGCCAAGCACCTGCGGCCCATATCCATGGGCAGTGCCGTGGGCAAATTGTTTTCCCGCATGCTTCTTAATCGCACCCTCCCCTTCGTCAGAGCACGTACTCATTCTCAATGCGCTGGAGTCGGCAGACAGAGCTCTGATTTTCTGTACTCGGTCTGGAGGGTTCTTATGCTGGAGCGTGAATGGCATGCAGGAGCATGTCTCCTAAAGCTGGACATCGCTAAGGCATTCGACAGCGTAGACAGGGAACAGTTGCTCCGGAAGCTCCAGTCTCGGATGGGGGATTGCTCCGAAATGCGATGTTGGAGGGCACTCTTGCAGGATGGAGAAGCTGTGCTCCAATCCCCATGGGGCACCTCAATGCTAGGGATGACTAGAGGCATCAAGCAAGGTGCAGTCGAATCACCTGCCCTCTTCGCCATGGTGGCCGAGGTGTGCCTCGAGGAGGCAGCCCAAAGGTTCAATTGGCAGTCTTTGGGGGAGGTATTTCCAGGGATGCCACACCATGACGTGCTTTTCATGGATGACTGCATTATGTGGTCTCGCGGGGTTCAGGGTTTGGAACGCAAAGTTCGGCAGCTCATGGTTGTGCTCTCCGAGTACGGGCTTAAACTGAACGGTGGCAAGTGCCAGCTTGTGTGTTCGCCTCACTGGACAGGGCCTAGGCACATCACTATCTCCGGGGAGAAGGTCGAGGCTGTTTCGGAGATGGAGGTGATGGGTTTGCCGATGAGGGTTGATATGACCACCTCGGAGTTGGTGGGCCCGCTGGTGGCGCGAGCTCGGTCCAAATTTTGGTCGCTCCACCATGTTTTCCGCTCCAAAACCTCGCTTCGAGGTCGGCTCCGCACTCTAGCGACTGTGGTAGGGGACTCGGCCTTGTGGCCACTTGCGGCCTTTCCGCCTGATCGTCCTGCGATGGGTCTGCTCAACACTATGCAGTTGCAGGTCACCATCTGGACAATGAGGGTGGCGAAACGACCTGGTGAGGGGTGGGATGCTTTTCGTCTCCGTGCGTACAGGGGTGCGCGTGCTGCCTTGCATGCGAGTGGTACTGAGCGATGGTCCACCACCTGGTTGCGGAGGTGGTGGCGGTATGCCGGGCATCGGTGCAGGTGTCTTCTTCGGGATTCCCCACCCTTAAGTGCCCAGCTCGAGGCCTTTCGTACTTTGGATTGGTGGCACCAACAGCAACGAAACCCCCATGGGCTCCGACACCCGAGGCACTTCCCGCGGCTTGCCAACCTGGAACGAGACATGCACAAGGCCGCTCATGCTGACTGGAGGGTTTCTGCACAGAACAGGGTTACCTGGAAGCAGCTCGAACAGGGCTGGGTGGATGCTATGGATTTGCCCTGGGCAAGTGGGAGGCAAACGAGGATACAGGACTGGCAGTGAGGGTCTCTACGGTGATGTGTGTGAGAGGGTGTAGCAATTCGGATGTCTAGTTGTGCTGCCTCTGCGAGTGAAGGTTCGCCTGATTGCAGCTGTGGCTCAGCTTCGCTGTGCAGCTACGCTTTTCTTTCGTGCGCCTTAACTACTAGGTGCTTCCATGTTTCATTCATGTGCGAGGGCATTTTGCCTTCCTCCGTTTGGGTTCTTGTGGCTTCATGTCGCCCGAACGTCAGCACTTCTATGCGGGGGAACCGGACCTGCTGGAAGATGCCGAGATCGGCGGTTCGAGTACGAGCTCGACGTCTCCCCCTACATGTTCCTGCCCAAGACGAATGAGGAGATGGGGGATGCACCTGTGGAACTTGTGTCCTGGGTTGAAGACTGTCCCGGGCCTCTTTGCCTCTGCGTGGCCAACTACCGTTTCGATTCCAGGTCTTGCTTGGGTCAAGGGATACCCGGAGTGCAAGAACGGAAACTATGTGTGCCTCGCTCTCACCTTCCTGGGCCTGATTCTGGAGGATGTGATGACGATCGGCGGGAGAGGTACCCAGTGGAGCTCAGAGATTACATGTTGGAGGAGGGTTACTTTGGCACGAAGGGTTGGGAGTTTGGAGTGATGTGCCATGCGAGCCCCTGCAGCTACGCGAGGGTCGGGCCTGGCGCTGGGATGCAAGATGATCGCCAGCGAGAGATGGACACTCGGGGTGTCCAGGGCCTCTTGGGAGAGGAATCTGACGTGGCGATGATGATGCAGAGCTACTCACACCGAAGCATGGGCCCCAGGCCTGATGGGATTCCAAGGCGAGACCTCGAGGAGCTGGTAGCTGATTTCAGGCAGTTGGTTGACATGGGGATTGGCAGGCGAGCTCGACGGGACCTGATCTTTCGTGTGCAGTGTCGTCAGCCTGCCCGAGTACTTCGATTCCTACAGGAGGTCTTGGGTGACTGCCTGGATGATGATGCAGCTCTGCCCATTGACTGCAGGCGGTACCCTGTGGACATCGATGATTGGGTGTCTCGGGCCTTCGGGCTCGTGTGTGAGCATGCACCGATGCCAAGTGCTTCGCCAAGGAGGTCGCCTCCGAGGACGGACCCCACACTCCCCTTCGGGATGATGCATGCAGCACATGTGTGGCGTGATGGAACTTGGTCTACGGCTGAGGAGCTTGTTCAAATGGGCAGGACGGACTTGCTGCCTCAACGAGCTCGCCCAACCTTGTCAGCAGCCCGAGGTTCCACTGAAAGGCTGAGTGGAAAAGGCTCCGGAAAGGGGCCCGGTGCCATGCCACACTCCGACGAGGATGAGCCTGATGTCACTGGGCTGTTCCAAGGGGATGTCACTCCTCGGAGAACGTGGGAGCAGCTGATGGACCTGTTCTGGGAGTGGTTCGAGGGAGGCAGACAAGTTGGCATGGCAGTGGGCATGGTTCGTCGTTTTGTGCAGGCGCGAGAAAGGCCCAACTATGACTCCTGGAGCCTCGGGGCAGTGAATGCCCTGGGAGCTGGGATTCCGGGAAGTGATGGCATCGAGTGGTCCCTCACGCCCGCGGACTTCTACGTCTGGGCCACCGAGGTTGAAGCCCGCCTCTTCGCTGCCTTTATCCATGATCGTGCCCAGGCAGCAGATGCGGCTCGCGCAGGCGCCGGAGAAGCTGATGGAGTGGTTCTTATGGAGCGGGGCCGCCGTGGAGGTGAACGTCAAAGAAGGGGAAGGCGTTCCAGGTCCAGGGCCCCGGAGGTACGGCGACGGCGAGCGCCTGTTGGACCTGCGTCCTCGGGCTCTCGGGGGATGACGGGCAATGCATCGACACGTGGGACGACCAGAGATGCTCTGCGGACGGCGCCATGGAGGGCGGTGCCACCGGCTCTGTCCTCGAGGAACAACAGGTCGGCAGGCTCAACTCCCTCGTCACGGCGCCCGGCTACACCCCGGACGGGCGGAGCAGCAGGTTCTCTTGCTGAGGGTTCGGCCAGCTCCTCCAGCAACTTCACCTTTGTGCGCGGGCCTCCGCGGGATAACGATGACTGTGTGGATATTTGGCGCCATGTCTTAGGAGTGGAGACCTCATCCTTGCCACGAGGGGTGGAAATTACTGGGAGTGATGGTCCCTTCATCCCGGATGCTCGTGCGGACTACATTCGAAGGGTCATCTCTGGGTTTACGGCTGAGCAGCAGGCCCTTATGACCTTGGGGCTCATGACTGTGCTCCGAGCGATTCTTGCTGAGCTCGGTGTGATCCTCCATGCCTCCAGCTTCGTGGATGTCGTTGCGGAGATGCCTGAAGGCCCGGGGGCTGATGAAGAAGATGAAGATGATGATGGGGTCACCCTCATGCTTCAGATGGACATGAACCTGGACGAGAATGAGGCCCTGGCACTGGTGCAGAGGGATGTGGCAGTTGTCTCAGGGGTGATGTCCCGCTTGCAAGATGCCCTGATGGGGGACGACCGTGGGCTTGCCAGGGTGAGAGCGGCGCATCTCAGAGCGCGTGTTCACAGTCTTCGGCTTGGCAGCTATGTTGACAGGGACTTGGCTGATCGAGTTGAGGCCCTGTGTCTGGTTGTGGAAGAACATGGCCAGGAGTCTTTGGCTGGGGGCTTTCACGCTATGGAAGCCCAGGTGGCCGAATGGACATGGGGGTGGTGGCGCGTCCTGGAGCCGATGATGGTGCACCAGCCAGAAAACCCTCCAGTGGAGTCAGCAGCGATCCCGGTGACGAGTTCTCTGGACACTGTTGGGGGCCTGAGCGGCTCCTTGGATGATGCGGAACTGGCCGAACTTGCTGCAGACCAGGCGGAGGCCAGGCGTGATGCAGCGGAGTTGCGGCACCAGCAGGAGCTTTTCGAGGAGGAGGAGTCGCGGTATTACCGAGGGGTTGAAGCAGCAGTGCAGGAAGAGCTGAGTCGTGCAGACGCCAGGGCATGTCGTGATTGGGACGACTGGGCTCTTTGGGATTCCATGCACAACCCGCCCGCGCGGGGGAGGAAGCGCACCTTTCTCAATGTGACTGTGAACTCAGGGGAGCCTTCGGGAAGTACTACGCAGTCGTGGTCGGTGCCGGTGGATGTGCTTTCGGGCCAGCGGATTGTCCTCAGCTTCCGGACTGTTGTTGAGGAACAGGCTGGGATGGACAACACACATGGATCTGGCAGTCCAGATAGCGGGACTTCCACTGTTCCTGCTGGGGCTGCTGCCTCCTCGGGTGTGGTGCCTCTGCCGGGGGGTGTTCCCTTGGAGTTTCCGCAATTCCAGGCCATATATGAGAGATGGAGTCGAGGAAGCTTGTCAGATGGAGATGTCAAGATCCAGTATGGTGCTGAAACCCTCGAGCTCATGGAGACCCAGAAGATTGTTGTGTCTGGTGGACATGATTCTGGGGCCGAGAGTGCTATGATAGCAGAGGAGTCGGTGATGCTTGGGGGATGTGCTGCAACGAACTCGGGAGTTTCTGCCAGTCGTGACAGTGGCAACCAGGGTCAGGACTCTGAGGCTGGCCAGGGGCTTGTACGTGAGGGTCCAGGTGTGGCAGCGTCGTGCACGGACACTTTGCTCGATGAGCTGCTAGCGACATGCAAGAGCTCGACGGAGATGGACTGATGATATTCGCAGGTAGCATGTAGGCCTGCCCAATCGGGCTCTCCGACTACTGATTCAGCAGACGGAAAAAGGCTCTCAAAAAAAAAAATATTTTCATGGTCTACTCCGTTTTGACAACAGAGCATCCATGCCCGAAACCTAACGACGTCCATGGTCTCATCCGTTCTGAGAACAGAGCATCCATGCCCAAAGCCTAATGACGTCCATGGTCCCATCCGTTCTGAAAACAGAGCATCCATGGGTCTACTCCGCTGCTGACCGTCATGCTCCTGCTCATGTTTGTGTTGTAGGAAGTGCTTTTTGTCCCATGCAGGCCACACGAAACAACACCATGCTAAGCATAAACGCACGTTTCCAAAATTTGCGTCCAGCGTTTACCCACACAACGCAAATTTTGTCTTGCGGCAAGGGTTCCCGCGGAAAACCGAAGCAAAGGCCACGCAAAGCAACTTTGCCAACTCTGCGTACACAAAGTGAGTTTTGTCCCGCACAGGCCACGTAAAATGCATATGGGAATTTCCCTCGTCTCCACGAAAATCCTAAAGCCTCGGCAAAATCGAGTCAATACGCATGTTGCCGAAACCTGACATGTCGTTCGTCCCACGCAGGCCACGTAAAACGTACGTTGCCGTCAATCGTCCCTGCGCGCGTTTACACTGGGATGGAGCGTTGTTTATGTGGTTGAGAGGTCACGGCCTGCAAACGCGGCAGGACGAAGGCAGACAAGGCTTGGCATTTTGGATTCACACCCGGCGCTCGATTTGCGGAGGCGACGGAAGCTGGCCAACGAGAGCAACGAGTGTTTCAGCCTGCGCGGGGTCCTGTGCTGCGCCGCACCTCGGCCTCTTCAGCTAAGGCGCTAAGGCTTCAAGGGGCGATTCAAGTCCATGCTCGAGCACAATGGACTGGGCGGAACTGCACAGAACGCAGGTTAGCTTCGGCTTGACCTTCTACCTGGGCGGAGTGCAGATGGAGGCGACATGGGAATTGGAATTGGGAAAGCATCGTCAGCCCCGACCCTGCTTAGGTGTCGGTGCTCACCAGCCTTCCAGTTCCCCGAGCCAGTGAAGTCGATCTGTCAAAGCTGCCGCACCCCGGTCCAGCTATCTGCAGCCTTTTGTTCGGACACTGTTCGGGCCTGGGGGATTTCTGGGTAACTAAGCACCGAGGGCCATGCCGAGTGCCCCGGCCTCGGAGGCACCGTGAGCACATCCTGTGGACTTGCTGATGCCTTCCTTCAACGGGTCCGCAAGGATGGGGCTTGCTGATTGCTGTGAGGCGGATCTACCGGTCCTGACATCCTCTGCGCCAACGCAGGAGACAGATCGAGTGAGGTTAGGTGTGCAGAACACCACTGAAAGGTTCAGCCACAGAAAGTATGCGGCACTCGTACAGGAGACTGGCTTGACATCCAGCACTGCGCCAGCGACGGAAGAGCCAGCTATGGCCACGTTGAACAACAGCAGCAGGATTTACATGAATCGCAAGGAGCTTGTCAGAGTAAGGCCGTCAGCTCAACGCCATCCACCACGGTGCCAGTCGGAGAAATTGGTTACGTGATTCCCAGAAACGACCAGTGTCCTAAAGGCCTGCAGCCTTGGCCAAGTGTTCTAAGCGGGGTTTCTTTGGTTGCAGCAGAAGCTTGGACACGACCAGGCACGGATCAGGTCGCTTGCCTTAGTTCGGTGGTATGTGCAGATTGCACTTCGTTGGTCGGGTTGTCCTACTGCGTGCTTGATCTTGTTTTAGTGAGGTCATGGACTTGCAGATGTGCCTGGAGGCTGCAGCTTACCTGAAGAAGCGGCTTGACTGCTGGGTCAGCATCGTGTGAGCAAGGATGCTCTACATCTTGGTGCAGACTTTCTGTTTTGAGGAAATTGATGTCAAGCTCCCCATTTACTGCGGAGCATGACCCGCCGGGCTGTATTTACCGATCTTCGGACCGAGCGATTTAGCTGCAAGAGTCAATCGGGAGCGAAATGCATTGCTTTGTTGCGAAGCCTTTTCGACCGCTTTGTGGGCTGCATGCCTTGAGCTTCTGACTTAGGACATCTTCTTCAACGGTCATCCGGAAGGAAGTCACAACCCGGATCGACGGCCTGTCTGCCGAGGAAACGTCTGTGGGTGGTTGCGGTGTGATTTTTGCATCGTGTGCTTTCCGAGTCTGAACATGAAGAGACAATACTCCAAGCATTGTTGCTGCGAGCCAGCAGCGAAGTTTCATGCTGGCAGTGGCAGGGGCCATCGGCCTTTCCGGCATCTCGCAGCAGAACATAAAACCCATTGCTGCCTGGGATCAGGCCAGGGGGTGTCCTTTGGTTTAGGGGCCGGGGGGAGGGTTGTCGATGTTGTCGGCTTTCTTGAGCCTTTCGGGCCAGTGCAAGGCTCCTGAAGCGATTCGGGAAGAGGCCGGGCAGGGACCTTGCCGTTCTGCAAGGATGTCGCGGTCGAGGTCCTAGCAATGGACAAGCTGGCTGAGGGATGATATTGGACTTGTTCTTCGGAAAGCCAAGCATCTCCGAAAGTCCAAGCCAGGCTTCTCGCATCCGCTTGTTCTGCTTTGCATGGACGCCATTTCGCCCGAGCGACGAGGCCATTCATCAGGTGTCATGTGATCAGCGAGAGCCGGGCATGCCACTGGCAAGCAGTGACAAGCGCATTCAGAGATGGTCGGAAGCCGCTGCCGCTGCAGAGGCGGTGCTTCAAGAAGTGAGGACACAGTTCTCCAAGTGCGATGGCCATGCCTTCTTCAGCGCCTCAGAGGACGGAAAGGCATGCTAGGCCTGTTAGGCATGCACTTGCCTAGACTTTCGGCAGGCACAAGCGGGCGAGTGCTTGGGGGCTCAGGTGATCGTCATCCACATGGTGAGACGGATGACGTGATCATTGTGAAAGTTCCGGAGCAGAGGGTGCCAAGGACAGATGGCCAATGGCTGCGCTGGCCTCAGTTTGGTGGGTTTTCGTTCTCCCTCTTTCAAAGTCGTGAAGGTATCACCGCAACATGGTCGGCTTGATGCCCACATGGACTCATCTTCTGAAGACCGGAATGGCAGAGGAGTACGAGACTGGGCTTGACCGGACATCTTAGCTGCCCTTTTCTTGTGCTGATTGAATCCTTTATTCACTATTTCAGTTCCGCACAGCTGGCGAGACTTCGACATGGCTGAGTGTGACTCACACCTTGAAGATGTGCAAGGACTGGGTGCTGAACGCAGAGCGTGGGCCTCGGCTGCCAGCAAGCTTCGCACATCCTGCACGGAAGCGTGGAGCTGCACCGCGAAGTGGAGGCTAGACCACTTCACGAGTCCGAGCAGGTGCCGCTTGGGCATTGTCAGCCGTTCGGCTGCAGACAGGATCCCTGTAGGATCCTGTAGGAGCCCATCCAAGCCCCAAGCCCAGACCCTTTGTCTCGCAGCCTTGGAGGCTACCTTCAGAACTTGAGGAGCGGCTCCGGTAAAGAGCAGCTTGGCACCTCTTGGATGGCGCCACCTGGAGCAGCAGGGTAAGGGTGAACAAAACTTTGATGGTCGTAGCGGTGCTTAATTTCGGGGCGACGACGCGACGACGTGACGACTTGAGCTTTGGCGCGACGACGTGACGACGTGACGACTTGAGTTTTGCGCGACGACGTGACGACGCAACGACGTGACGACGCCAGCGGTGTCAACGGCGTCAGCGACTTCACCGGCATCGACGGCGTTTGCATTCAATCCTTGTAAGAGTTCTACTTCAAAAACTAAGGGGCGTCCCAGCAGTCCAAGGCTCCATCCTCGGAGTTCAAGCTTTGTAAGAGATCTGCTTTAAGAATCAGGGCCGCCCCGTTTTCTGATGGGAAAAATCAGCGAGATGCGCCATCAGTTTTGGCTTTGCATTCTCGCAGTTCAAGGTTTGTAAGAACTCTGCTTTGAAAGCCCGGGGCGCCCCCAATCAGTCCAAGGCTTGCTCCTCGGAGTTCAAGGTTTGCAAGAGTTGTGGTTTAGAAATCAGAGGCGCCCCATCAGTCCAGGGGCTCAATCCTCGGCATCCTCGGCTATCAATGTCTGTAAGAGTTCTGCATCAACTACCAGGGGTGCGACATCAGTCCAAGGCTCCATCCTCGGAGTTCAAGGTCTGTCCTAGTCCTGCTTCAAAAGCCAGAGGCGCCTAATCAGTTCAAGGCTCCATGCATTTTCGGAGTTCAAGGTTTCTAAATCCGAAGCCCGAGTGTCTGCGAAGCCCGAGTGTCTGCCTGTTGGGTCCCTTGGACATAGGCTTTATGGCCCCATAAATCCTATAATCTGTGAAGACGTCAGTTTTTGCGCGAAGACGTGAAGACACGATGTGCGTGAAGACGTCAACGGCGTCATTGGCGCCAGCAAAAACCACATCAACGGCGCCAACGGCATCAGCGGCGTCTGCGGCGTCAACGGCGTCACCGGCATCAGCAGCGTCAACGGTGTCAATGGCGTTACCGGCGTCAACGGTGTCAACGGCGTCAATGGCGTCAATGGCATCGCGGTGTCACGGCGTCAACGGCGTCAACGAATCCACGGCCTCAACAGCTTGTACGGCGTCAACCAAAATTACGTATTGCCCATGGACATCACTGTGGGAAGAACCAGCTTTTCTTTGGCGCCATCTCTCGGAAATGCTCTCCGGATCGCAGGCAGCGCCTCGCCGGTGGTGCCCTCATGCTGATGTGGGGGAATGCCTTTGCTGCCAGGCCGCAGTCCCGTGCAGTGTAGCGGAAAGATGAAGAACTCGGCTTGAAGGACAATCTTGCTAGCAAGACACGTGAGACTGGTAAGCTAAGCACAAGCTCTGAGGTCTTTAACAAGAAGATGGTGACCTCAATGCGTGAGCAGTGGAAGTTTCTCGGGGTCACGGAGAAAGAGAAATCGGTTGGCGTCGGATGCCCCCAGTTCATGCGTGGGCGGCAGGAGCTCCTCCTTGCCACCTTGCATAACAATCTATGAGAGTGCATGCCGTGCTGCGAAAGATTCCATCAGGAGTGGCCTGAACATTGCTCTCAAGACATCGTGCCGCTCCTTTCGCACGGACATGTGCCACTGTTAATCCGGTAGAAGCGAGAGCTTAGGCACTCGCACCCTTCGACCCTCCTGTGCTCTGCAAGCCTCGGCCAAGGTATCCGAACATGCTGGAGGGAGTAATGCGAGGAGATGCGGAGGCTAGGCTGACCGGCAAAGCACGTGTTTGAGCCTTTTCAGAGTTTTCTGTAACGAGGCAGTTGGAAGATCCGGCTGTGGTCAGCCAGATGCCACCAACGGGCTTCTCCGTTGCGGGTAGTGGCTTAAAAGCCGGAACCTGCAGTTTCTGATTATCCGAGGAGAGGTGTCCTCTTCCAGCTAGGCTGCTGGGAGATGCAGAAGAATCCGTTTGGCATGTCGGAGGAAGGCCCTTTGCATCTGAGACATTCTCCCCAAGCCTCGAAGTCTGCGGATCTCGTGTAGTCAGGTGAAATGGATGCTATTCGGGAATTTGCCATCATCCAGGGCATGAAGGACCAGCTGAAGAGCGTTGCCTTCTGTCTTGAATCTCCCATCTTTGATCCAGTCCATAACCCAGCAAGCGAGGATCAAGGAGAAGCGCGGAAGCGGTATGCCGGAACGGATCAAGTGTCCCGGCAATGCAAAGCACGATCCGACCGGTGCTCTGTAGATTTGATGTGGCACAGACACCTTGACTGCAGGCCGACAATGTGAAGCTTTGGTTTTCCGCCAAGAACGTTCCAGATCCTCGGATGCATCCTGATAAGCCTACATTATGCTGGGCCGTGAATTGCAGCCTGCTGTACCTCTGCAAGGTCATACACCACATAGTGAGTGCCGATGTCCACAAGCTGGCCCGTGAACTGCTAGACCCAGAGCCAGAGCTTCAAAAAAGCTTCTGCATAGGATTCAGGGCCCGCGTTTCATGCAGCAGAGTGGGAGGCGAGCGCGGCCAGCAAGCAGATGGATGAAGGACGCAGCTTGCTGCCTCTTGCAGTCGGTATCCTCATGCTTGCGGAAAGGACTCGCAAATGCTGCAGGGCTGGCCCTGTCCTGAGCGAGAGTTGCGGTTGCAGAAACATTGGCCGGGGCCGTGGCTCAACGAAGAGACAAGCTGCCACTCAACCGACGTGTCTCGTGGCGGCGTGGCGAGAGGGAGCAACAGCGGTCGCGCTGGTTGTGTTCCTGGTCCTGGAAGCCCGAAGCCATGACCTCGCATCGCACCCCTTGCGAAACTCTGCAAGCGCCCGAGGTTCCTGCGTCGATGGCATCGTCATTGAAACGATCCTGTCAGGACACTCCCGAGGTGAGCTTAGTCCGCTTGGTGCTTGAAAGCTGCAGGATCTTGAGTCAAGCCTGTCGCAGCTACGGGCCTGTTAGAGCCCCAGCGGTTTCGTAGCTCGAGCCGTGAGCCGAGCGTGAGCCTTCGGACTTCCGAATGATCCTTAAGGCCTTAAGGTCTTTGTTTCCTCAGAGTCTTCTGGATGTGTTCTTGATGTCGCTGCTTCAGGCTTGCAGCCGCCCACGGCCCCTTCTGCAGACGCTTTGCGGCCTTTGCGCTTGCTCCTGCTGGCAGTGCAGCACGCCCGCGAGGTGTAGCTGCACCTTCAGCTTCGCCTACAGAGTGTAACAGAGTTTCGACCGAAGCAGTTTCTACATGTACTCGCTGTGCAAGCTCCCTGATTGCAAGACTCTGCTTGGCCACCTTGCTGAAGTTCGTTAGATCTTATCAGGCAGCATTACGTCATTAGGTGCTCAGAGTTTTGCCCCAATCCCGACCAGGGACCTGGGTCTCGGTGAGCCTTGGAACGCCGCAAGGCCTACAGCTCTGACCCATCGATTTCCATCAAGGCCGCGACCAAGACGTCCCTCGGCTCCGAAAGATGGGAGACTGACTGCATTGCTCGTCGCCTCACTTCAGCTCACTTCGTGACAAGCTGGGTTAGATGACGTGATTCCTCTGCCCGGCAGACAAGGAACCGTGAAGATACAGAGCAAGCGGAGGCAGTGACTCAGTGAGATCTTGAAGCAAAGCTGTGTGTGGTTTAGAAGTGTATGCACGTATGTACTGGGAATGTCGGCCGTTACTCTGCCTGCATCTAATGTACCTGCTAGCTCTCAACAAACAAGCACGGAGCTGTCAGCTCGAATGCAAAGACCCTCTCATTGCAGGAAGTCCTTGCTGTGCCGCAGCTTGGACTTGGGCGTGAAAAGCACCTGAGGACTTTGCCGGGAGGCCCAGACTTTAAGCCTTTAAGCGTGGCACCCTCTTTCGTGACTTGCTTCTCTGCTGGCTTTCTCAACAAAATCGCTGTCGGACCCACACATGGTGAGAATTTCCTGCAAAGTCTCAGTGTCGCAGGTGGTATCTTACCGCATCAATGGCTGCGCAAGAGCATGACAAGATTGCCCAAGGTTGGAGATTCTTCCACTGTCACAGATCCATGATGCCCTTCGGTAGATGCCTTAGCCGCCACCGCAGTCCTGAGCGTCTGCCACGGCTGCTCATCGAAGTCTTCTCGTGTTGGCGCATTGGAAAGCTGAGCCAGCACTGACCCAGGCAGCATCTAGAACAACTTCCAAGTTCATCGGCATCTCCGTTGGCACCCTTCACCAGGCAGTGAGGCACTCGGTACTCGCACATGTAGGGTGCTGCATCTTTGACTGCTTTGCTTCCACACGGGACACGTGCAAAGCTTGCCACGCCCGGGTCGGCTTGAACTGTGGGCCTGCAATTACGTCTTAGGATCCTGCAGCTGTCCAGGGCTCTGCTACTGGGCGGGCTTCAGGCAGATGCTGGTAAGAACGGTGGTTCGTCATAGACGTGCTCCATTTCTGCTGCAGTCTTTCAGGCCTCCTTGGCAACGGCACAGGTTTCGCATGATCCTCAGTCACATGCTACGAGATACAGGGACGGCGTGAGTCTCGCTCGGACAAGGTTTGAGCTTCTTCGGCTGGTCTGCTTCCTGATGGAGCCTTCAGCTGCATGCTGTTGCCTTCATCGGTGGTGGTTTCCGCCGCTTCACCCGCCGCACACGCCCTCCCCCCAGGAGAAGGGCCTCAACTCCAAAGAAGAAGAGGAGCAAGGGGAAGGTGAAGGCAACACTCTGAAAAGCTTGCCATCAGCAGAAGCTGGTCTCGCTTGGATACAGAAATAATTGGCCAGGCGAGGGCGGCACGGAGTGGCAGACTGGGACTGGCATGGGTCCCTCGGCACCTTAGGATGGAGGCTTTGTTCAGTTAGTGTTAGTGTTGCCACATCATCCACAGGGAGTTGAGGACTCATAAAACGCCATCAGCTGCGAGTATGCACGCCTTCGCTTGATGCATCTTGATGTGTTAATGCTGTGTAGTCTGGCACGTTTGCATCTCGGAAGGCGAGGGCGAAGGCCTGAAGGATGTTACAGACGAGATTGAGGAGAAGCTCTGCTCTTGTGGGAGAGTGGGTGGCGCGGCTAGGCCTGATGGAAGTGTGACAGTTTCTGTTCAGAGGACGACGCTCAGCTCGAGGGAACTCGCAACGAGCAGCAGGAGCAGCAGCGCTGGACCCAGATCACGATCTCTCACGATCTCTGCTTCCTCAAAGTCAGTTGCAAAGAGGCCTGAGCCCGAGCAGCCCAAGCCGAGCGAGGACTCTTGCCATTGCTCCCGTGTCGCTGCCCCCCGAGTGTCATGAGCCGTGCCGGTTGCAGGATAATGCCAGAGAGGTTGGGTTCGACTTAGACACGGAAGCGAAAGCCATGCCACAGGAGGCGCATCTGACGCCGCACTTCTTTCGTTGTGCTGATTCCATCTGGATTTGCAGACGGCATTGCGCATGAATCAGCTCTAGGAAGATGACAAGAAGCAAGATGAGGAAAAGGAAAATGAGGAGGAGCTCCTGCCTCAGCATTCCACTGCCCAATATGCACTCTGCAAAAATACTGCAGCAGTGTGTTGTCACCAGCCGTGCTACATGTTAAGCTTCCGAACAAGAAGCTTTGCTGGTGCAAGTAGAACTTCACATGTCGCGAAGATCAGAGTCACATCAAGTTCAGAGCTGCTTCTGAGGCAAGACCTGGATCGTCAACAAGGCAGGCCCAAAACCATGGAGAGCAGCAGAAGATTCCGTGCTTGTTTCTCGTGTGGTGGCACCTGCCAATGATGACAGGTGATGTGGACCTTTCGAAGGGTGGCATGCTTGATGAGAAGTTATGGAACGGAGAGGACGAGGACAGAAAGTGGGCCGCTGTCCCAATCGCAGCAGGCTGGCAGCTGGCTTGCATGCAAAGCTGGATGTGCCGGAAGGACGACAAGGAAGATGATAAAGATGGCGATAGCCTCAGCGGTTGATCCAATGGCGATCTCGGTGCGGAATCGTTGTTGGAGATCGAGGTGATGAGCCTGAGGAGAAGGAGAAGGGACCCCAAGAGGACATTGAGGCGAACATTTGAGATCATGACATGCGCTCGGTTTCGCAGAAACAGGTCTGCGGATGAGTCGCAACACATAGATTTAGTAACAGTGTACAGCTATCGCAGAACAGTGCAAAATCTAGCAAGATACGGACTAGTCACGTGATTGCTGCTTTGTTAATCGGGTGAATTTGCATATTTCAGAGCCAAAGCGCTGCGCAGGACATTGCGCATCTTGCCTACGACGAAACTTGAAACGCTTTGCAGGTATATATAGAGTCCTGCAGGCAAGGTCGCCCTAGCGGGCCTAGTGTAGCAAAAGCCATGTACCGAATCGTCTTGCCAATCTCGTTTCTGAGGTCCAGCTGGGCGCATTGCTAGGACCTAGTAGCACCGGCCACTGTGCTTCTTGGTACTTTCAGATCGAATGGCGGTGCAACGGTCGTGTCAGCACTGTCGCCGTCGCCTGGTTCGGAAGCATGGCAGCCGAGACTCGACCTCTTTGCAATGGTAAGCAATCCTCGTTCGGAACAGTCGCTAGCCCGTTGAAGCATTAGCAGCGGCCGCGATTCAAGCCCTGCGATTCAAGCACAAAGCCAATGCAAGCGCTGGCGAGTCAAGCACGCATGATTCACGCACCTGCGATTGGAGAGGGTTTGGGGCATGTTGGGTGTCTAGGGTTAGTTTTTAGGGTTTAGTTCTTTGTGCTAGTGTTTGGGGGTTCAGGTTTTTGAGGTTTATGGTTGCACGGTTTAGTGTAAATGAATAAATTCGAGCTCAGGGTTACTAAGGATCAGAGGTTTTGGTTTGGGTCTGGGGTTCTAGGGTTGAGGGTTGCGCCGCTTCACGGTTGTGAGGGTTCGTGGTATTTAAGTTTTACCGTTTAGGTTTTCTGGGGAGCCTGAGGCTTTTCTACAAAGCCCTTGTACAGCTTTACCAAAACTTCTTATGGCCCTGGATAATAAGATGACGGGTTTCAGGTTTCAGGGTTGCATTTATTCTAAACTTCCTCTGCGCATTCTTCTAAGGGTTTTCGCAATGCTAGCCAGGAACGCGTTTCTCAGGCTTCTGTCATGATGACACTGGTGTGCGGGTACGAGGTGGTTGTAGTTCTGTAACTGGCTCAGGCTACTTGTCACCAGGTCGTGTGTCAACTCAGCCAAAGTATGAATCCTGTAAGCAGACACGAAAGGCATGAGAGTTCCGGCCAGCGGCCCTTTGGGGCACCTGCTTCCCCAGGCAACTCTGTGGCAGGAACGCGTTTCGTGTCCTCTTGGAAAAACTTGTCCGACTTCTGGTCGGAGCCAGTTTGGCTTCTCAACGCACTCGTCGATCAAAAAAAATTAGGCAGCTCGAGGCAAAAAGAGAAAACCGATAAGCACCATACATTGTGCAACGCATGGTGATGTGCATTTTGCTTGGTGCTTTGCGCAATCTTCTTGCAAACGCGTTACTTGGTTTTCGCAGCCGCGGGACAGCGACAGCGCAGAAAACAAAATTAAAGAAACATCAACAAGACAACAGCAGGTGAGCACGCTTGGCAAACGCGTTACTTGGAAAATACACCTTTCGGCCTGCCCAGCGTGTCCGCTCTCTTGGAGTGTTTCTCGTCCTCGTCCTGATCTTCTGGTAGCACCGTGGGAGCACGCTGCGGAGACGCATCACATGGTGGCAAACATCAGGATGACCCCGTGCTTGAGCAGCGCATTTGGGCATGGCACAGAGGAAAATGAGGGCTTCTGATGTTCCCCTACCAAAACCGATAGAAAACCGATGAGCTATGTTTCTTGCGTAGAGCCGGCTTAGATTTATGCATTCGTACATTAAGAATGTCTGTGCTTGCATGCCTTTGTACAGTATGTACGTACATTACGTACATGTATGTAAACTGTTCGTATGCAAGTTTAATCTTATATGAAGCTATATGCATATATATGTGTGTATACGGGTAAGTATGAGTATGGATCAGTATGAAGATAAACATAAATATGGAAATAAGTATCTGTAGGGTTTACGGTTTACGGGTTTAGGGTATAGGGTTTAGGGCTTAGGGTATAAGGTTTAGGGGTTTAGGGTTTAAGGTTTAGGTTGCAACTCGATTAGAAGAAATATGGTAACCTGATAAAACTACCACTTAGGGGTCTGGTAGAGGCCGGTTACAAATGCTTGTGAACAATTTCAAACAACATCCTCTTCTAGTCCCCCTGCAATTATGTAATCATGATTGGTTCATGCTGCAATTTTTCAAAAGCCCTAAATTGTAAAGGCACCGATTATTTGGATGTTGATAGAATCTAGGTTCATGCAAGTAGGAGTATGAATTTAGGCATGACCATAGAAAGAAACACACATGTATATATATATATACACATACATATGTACATACATACATACATACATACATACATACATACATACATATGTATACATACAGAGGCACACGCATCAATCCATACATACTTACACATGGCTGTGCATGCACAACCACCCAGAGCCTAGTTGCAGGCTCATGGGGCGCAGGGCGAGGGCGAAGCTGCACGGCACTTACTGGTAGGATGCCACTTGCTTCGTTTTTTTAATGCCATTGTGGCACGTGCCAGCTTCTCAAGCCTTTGAGCTTTGACCTGGCCAGGGATCATCTCCCGGCTGCGCTTCCAACCACTAGAAGTATTGAGACTAGCTCGTCTGCACACCCAGACAGAAAAGTTAACGCGGCAAGGTCATTGTGAGAAGGCTTCGGTTCAGTATGGCTCAGTAGCTCTACCGTGGTGTCGGACGCGGTTGCACCGAGTGGATGTGCTGAAGGATACAACTGCGAAGGACGAGAACGACAGCCCCTCCCTAAGTTCCAACGTGCCAAGTTTCTACGGACCTTCTTCAATCCTTCCGGTGCCTGGCAGCTTGAAGGCAAGTCAAAGAAGCAGCCACCTTTGGAGGATCAAAAGGACGACAAGGCCGATGCCAAGGAGGCGCCGGAACAGGACTGAGGGATGCCGTGGACGCGGCTCTCTTGTCTCTGTCTCCTGGCAGTGCAGGATCCGCAGGAACCCGAGAAGACGGAGTTCGAAGACAAAGATGCGCAGTTTGACGTCCAAATGCCCCAAGGGTGCGGGTCCGAGCATCTGCCTCGGTTCTAGGCAAGACACGTGTCAAGCTTGTTTTGACTGGCACGAAAGCCAGGAACGATGGCGCGGACGGGGAAGGCGAAGGCGAAGGTGAAGGCCCGTCCTGAAAGCCATGGACAACGAGTGTGGACAGCAAACCCTTAGATGTCCCCCACGACCCGCCAATTTCACGATTCTCAGGTGAGGGAGAAGGCCAGGGCGAAGGAGAAGGAGATGCCGACTCAGACTTCATCAAGGACATCGAGGGATTGGCACATCGAAGCCATTCAGACTCGTAACTTGACCGCTCGGAGTCCGACATCGACATGGACGGAGACGGGGAAGGTGGTGACGACGGCGAAGGATCAGAAAGAAGCAAGTGTGAGGAGGAGCGCGGTGTAGAAGTTGTCAACAGGTGGAGCGGGAAACGCATGCGCAGAGACACAGACGCATACACCCTCACGCAACTTGTCTGTCAGTTGGATGCATGCAGTCGTACCTACACACATACACGCATACGTCTACAAACGTGCCTGCAGGCATACAGCATACATACACACATCGTACTTCGACTTTTGGCCTTGCAAGGAGATTGGTGACTTGGATGCTGCTGATCCCGGAGTCAGTTGCCCAGCTGTGTATTCGTATGGATGCGGCCGCAGGATGCAGGAGCTTGGCATAATTCGTTCTGCATGCAAGGTCCCTGAAGAGAAGCTTCCGGACGATGCCGGCGCAGAAGAGTTTTCAACTCAACATGCCGAACCAGGTTGTGTTCCACACTGGCATTTGCTAGTCTAAGCGAATTCTCATGAATTTAGCCATCTGACTACTCATAGCTTACCTGAACAAAGGCGCTTGTTGGTATTGCGATATGCGCAAAGACTGTTCAGACTTCTACTTGGCCGAGGCAGGAAGGAGTGAAACCCTGTGTCCCCTCCTGAGGCTCATTGAAGAGAATGCCAAAGCTCCTGCGTCTTGCCTTTCCCAGGTGCAGGGAGAGCAGAGGCCCGAAGAGCAGCAAGAGCAACAGGACAGGCGGAAAGGCGGAATATACCAGCTCGGGCCATGCTGCCTTCATCCCTTGGAAGGATCAGGATGGTGAGAAGCCACAAAATGTCGATCCCTCGAAAGCGCCCGGTGCCCAGCCAGCTCTGAGATTCTGCAAGTCGGGTGCTCCGAGAGCCAAGGCAGAAGCCCGAGGAGAAGGCGAAGCCGCCCGAGCCGCCCGAGCCCCAACAAAAAGCATCTCAGTGAAGGGCTAACGGCTGCCGCTGCTACAACCAACCACCACAGCAACTGCTGCTGCTGCTGCTACTACTACTACCACCACCACTACTACTACTTCTAGTACTTCTACTACTTCTACTACTTCTACTTGAAGTAGGATTGCAGCGAAGCCCCAAGCTCAGGCTGAAGCAGGGAGATCCTGGCGCGAACTCTGGCAAGGTGCAACGGGCCCAAGAAGTCCCTTTACTCTCACTCAAGAAGTGGCTTCTGCGAGGACACCACAGCACCCCAAAAGCAGCAGCAGGACGAAACGTGAGACCATGTGGCTTGCAGATGCAGAGCTCAACCTCAAGCTCAAGGGGGAACGGTGTCGAAAAGAATGCAACGCTTGAAGCTAGGGAAACTGCAGTTGGAAAGTTGATATAACTTGAGAACCGGTCCCTGCAGATGCCGAGAGGGTTGCCGTGTTCTGCTTTGGGCTTCTTGAGGCTATGCATCAACCAAGTCTGTCCATTTTGGGGCAACCAGGTCTTTGTGACTTTCTTTCTATTTGGGGAAGCAGATATGAAGCTTTGGGTAGGACCGCCAAACCCAATTCCGGCGCCGAGAGGACGAGCAGATGTTTGGAGGAAGCACAGGTGAAGCTGCCAACTTCGAGCCGGCCGCCCAGCAGGTGCTTTTCAGGGCACGATGGCAGTGGACATTTATGGCTTTTCATGGTACGTAGCTGGTCAGCTGCCGGGAGTTTGCTAAGGTCCCAGGCACAACAGGACGCGCAAGAAGCTTCTGCTGGAGATGAACGAGGAGGCATCGACGCAATTCGTCTTTCATTGGGCTTCACCTGGGCAAAGTCTGTGAGTGTCCTTTCAAGAACGAATTCGTTTGCCAGAAGATTGTGGCAGGCTCAACAGCCACTGCGACCGACTCAAAAGGCGACGCAGCCGAAATGACCTCCGTCGCCTCCTTGACCATTAGACCTTTCCGCCAGCTAAAAGGTTTCTGTGATTTTGGGTGCATCGAGCTTGGATGAAGGGACTCTATGTGTTGCCCTGTGTTGTCACACACTGAGGCCAAGCCGCAGAAGTCAAGCGCAGCCGACAAGAAGTGCGGCTGGCAAATGTTCAAGAGTGGACGTCTTTACCATCGTACAGCACTTGACATGGAATCAACGGTGGCTTGTCTTGAATGCAGCGCGGTATCTCGAGGCAGCTACGTCACAATCTGGCTAGCTGTGACGTGACTGGCGGCGTGCATAAACGTGCCAGGAAGTCTCCCGCAAAGCCGAGCCCTTCGGACACAGGGGCCAACGAGGACAGGAGTTTTTCGGGTGTAGAGCAAGTCAAGCCGGTTTGCTCCCTCTCCTCTTGTCGAGACCAGAAGCGCATGGCAGATTCGACCAGAAATAAGCTTTCAAATGCCATGAGTTGAGAAGTGGGCGGCCCTTTTTGGCCCAACACGCCAGAGACAGAGTTCAGCATGCTAACAGCATCAACGAGAGCTGATGCAGGCTCGAAAGTCGGCGGCATGCAGGGACTTGATGTTGGGCACTAAAGAGCTGAAGGAGCGCCGCCTCCAAAAGCTCGACATCTTGCGAGAGGCTGACGGCGGAAACGATGTCCGGATCTGAAGCTTCGAGCGGGTCGTGAGACAGCCAATCAGCAGCTAAGCGTCCGGTCGTTCGCGTAAGTCTTCTGTGTCGGCTGTCCAAGGCCATGGGCGACCAGCAGGAAGCTGGTGCCGAGCCCGGTCCTTGGGAAGCAGAGCGCTTGGGCTGGACTTGGGTTCTGCTCAAGACTGGGTAGCCTTTGCAGTTCAGACACAGGCAAGGGCTGCACCTTGCAGATCCGAAAAGCGGGCTGGAAGCCTTGGGTGAGTGCCAAGATGCGGCGACACACTGAGTTGCTGCTGTTCGTGTGTTCGTGGCTTCCATCTCTTGATACTTGCTTGTTGTCTGCCTTTACAGGCGGGTGCAGATCAGAAGGCGCTGGGTGCGGATGGGCAGGCCCTGGAGCCAACAGTGCAGCATCCGCGCCTACTCTTTTTGCGAACACTGCAGGCGGAGGAGGAGAGTGAGAACGAGGCTCCGGCGATGGAGGAAGACACAGCAGGCAGAGCTACCACCACATACAGCTACTTACGAAGCTGCAGCAATGTCGGTGCATGAATTCGTAGCTCAGCCGGTTGCACTGCTAGCCGATGGTGACAACCCTCAGCATCATGCGGCATGGTTTATGCACCAGGTCCAGAACAAAACAAGATGCTGTCAGCGACCTAGCGCTGTACCTTCTGGCCGTTCGTGCATCGTGTTGTGCAGAGAGCCTGAACTTTTGTGAGCGGACGGAGGCCCAACATGCGACTCCAGGAGACCATCGTTCGTGGTGGATCCGGTTGCATGTTTGTGAGGTGCATTACAAGACGAGCAGCGGCAGCCTTCAGAGTTGGAATTCCAGTAGGAATTCCATCCGAGATACTGTGCAAATGAAGGGTGGGGCTCGGAGCACGTGGAATCACGACACTGCGCCACATCACGACCTACAAGGTCCGTTTCATCAAAATCTCCAAAGTGCGTCTAAATGATGGGCGAGCTGCGACCTGCCACGTGGACCACGCCCCACATGGACGACCCTTTTCGGAGCAGCGGTAGCTGCTCCACAAATCTGGACCCATTCCGTGGTTATGCTGTTCAACAACACATTCCCAGCCCGGTTGTTAAACGTCCCAGTGCTGCTTATTCGCGTTAACTGAACTTGAACTCGGATGATGAAGATGTGGAGCAGCACTGCGTGGTGTAGCAGTGCTTGTGGGCACGTGATGCCGGGTGTGAGAGCGCACATCACTGTCGATAGCTTGTCGTCGCGCACATCTGCAATGCTACCTCAATCAGCTGTTGTTTTCCTTTTCGCGGCGGGGGAGGGGGTGAGCGCTGTTGCAGCTATTGTAGTTCTCATTTTCTTCGACGGAGCCGCAGCATGTCGAGGAGATGGAAGGTGCTCAAGCTCAAGAAGACCCAGGCAACCAGCTTGGGCTTGCTATTCACGTAGTTGTGACTTGTGATGCGAGAGTCGTGTTGGCATGGAGAGGCAAACCCAGGGATCCCTCGCAGAACGACGTCGACGACGCGAAGCTGGAGGCGCACGGGCGATCTTCTGACCATCTAACTTCTGGCCATGCACCAACAATTGCAGGGCTTCCGTGGTGGAGCCAGCTCTGTGCATGCTGCGCCGACGGCCCTTGCTTCAGTACAGGAGGCCTCTCCACTTCATAATGTGCCGAGTGATACAGAGCATCAGACGAGGGCACATGGTGTCATGGCGGAGAGTCGAAACAGACAGCTCGAGGGGAACAGGCAGTGGTCTACTAACCGTGCTGGCAGAGAAGCTGCATTGGCATCACAGTGAATCAGGTACATCAAGAATTCTTCAGGGCTCGCATCAGTCTGTCGTGCACTCGTATGCTGACAGTTTCTACAGTCTCAACGTCCTACATGTCTTACAGTTGGTAACCATAATTTCTTGGGGCCGCACGAGATGGTGGCATTGTACAACAAGAAGCATCTTTCTCTGAAAAACTGTCCGCCAATGCCGGACAACCCAATCGCAAGAAACTGTCAGAGTACGTTCAACGTCAGCCCTGGTCAGGCGACCGGTGACAACATGGATGTCGACGATGAAGGTGAAGGTGGCTGGAGGAAGAGGCTGTGATCCAGCTTGCTCTAGTGCAATGCCTATAATTCTGCAGTAGCTAATCTTATAATGTTTCGATTGCACAGGTCTGAGCACGAAGCTATGCAGCTCTGGGGTCAGCCTGGTCCTTGGCGGGCCATCTCAGCGGTCGGAATGTCATGTCTTGTCGGCAAAGACTGTTTGCTGTTCGTCGGAAGTCTTCTTCCGCTTGCTGTCTGATCATCTACCAGGAACCTACCACGTGCCGCTGTCTGACTCATCCACTTTTCAGCTGTGTAAGTGCTAGAGCAGCCATCCACTCCACGATATGAGCACACGATCGCTGTCATGGACAAGGCAAAGCCCTGCTCACTGACTAAGCAGCAGAAGCGGTAGTTGCAGCAGTAGCAATACCAGCAGAAGCAGCAGGTTTAGCAGTAGCCGTAGTGGCAGGAGTAGGAGTAGTAGGAGTAGGAGTAGCAGTAGCAGTAGCAGTAGCAGTAGCAGCAGTAGTAGTAGTAGTAGTAGTCGTCGTCGTCGTCGAAGTAGTAGGAGCCCCTCTCAGAGCCCGGGCTGTGAGGCTGGAGAGAAGCACAGCGCCCTTGTCTGCCGCTCTTTGCGAACAGCTCAGGATTGAAACGTGAGGGTTTCAGGGGCCTTAACAAGTACTTCTACAAACCTTCAGGGCCGTGCGATGTATGTCTTACTGCGAGATTTCCGAGAGCTGTTTTCGATCATGAAGTTTCGAGAGGACGATCCTGGAGCCGACTCTCAAAGGCACGCATTCAGTCCTCCGTCCCCGTGCTTGCATTGTTCGTGCCGTCATAGGCATGCCAGTTTGTGGGCAGGTCGTTTGCAGGGCTACTTTCGCACCGGAAAGCGGATCTCGATGAGACGCGCGCGAGACTCAGTAGTTGCAGCTTTGCAGTACATGTCGCAAGCCGGCGCCCGGGTGGGGGGAACATGATCTGACTGGCATGGAGACGGGATCACTCCCTGGAGCATCTCAGAGAAAGCAACGCTTGAGGTGATCCCTTTCATCGCCTCGAACTACCGCAGGGACAAGATTTGGCTGAGACGGACGAAGCCCTCGAAACGGGAATACCAGGCAGGGAGGTTTGGGGGTCAAGTCCCCAGCGTAGCCTGGGCCGCTGCCCTTGACCAACGACCGAGCAGGGAACAAGAGAGGTTTGGGTCTCATAAGGGCATTGCAAGCCAAGTCGCAATTTTCCTGGCAAAGTTGCTTCTGAGCAACAGTCATGTCGAAGCGAGGCAGCAACTGCTTTCCTCTTGTGTTGCGATGTTCTTGACTCTCAGATCGTTGTGGCCATCGACAACTCTCGGAGCATGTTTCAACCTCAGATATTCCCCAGCTTTCGCCCTTGCCATCTGCATGGACGCGAGTGTAGCCTTGAGAAGGAAAGAGTGCGGCGTCGGCCCCAATGCGCTGCAGACGCTCTGCGTTCTGTGCCAGGCGTGTGCGGACAAGTTTGAATACAGCTTCGCTGATCCTTGCAGTCACGTCACCTGCTATATCACTCAAGGCGTTGGCCCAACTCGAAGTGGGTGAGTATGCTGTTCTCGCTTTTGGCAGCGCCGGGTTCTAAAACCTCCCGCAGTTGCAGCTGCAGCTTCAGACAGGCCTTTTGAGTCCTAGCAGTCTGAAGGCAAGAGCTTGCGCCGATTGACGTGTGCTCGCCAACACTCAGGCAACTCCACGCGTGCTTCTGCCTTTGGGCTCCGGGTCAGACGCTCATGAAGTCTGCGAGCCTGCAATGGCTCCGCGTCACGTGCACCAACCGGAGGCAGCCGCACGCCAACAGCTTCAACTGGACGCAAGCCGGCCCTCTTCTCCGGGAGAACTGGACTCAGAGCCTCCTGCATGTCTGGCTCCTTTCACGAGTTCTTTCCGTCAGGTTCACCTTCGAGGAAGAATCTGTTCAGCTCCGAGCTCAGAAATACTGGGAGATGTGAAACGCTGATGCTGATGCGATCGTTTCGAAGTTGAGGAGGCATTTTCCGAGCAGCAATAGACAAACGGCAGTGTGCTTTGGCGAGATACCAGGATGAGGTAAATGCAAAGTGCCCACATGGATGTAGGCCCTGTAGGCCCGTAGGCTCAATGCACGGGAGGTAAAGGAAGCTATCTCCCAGGTCCCCAAGCAAGCTCAATATCTCCGCAAACTTCCCTGGGTCCCTGAACTCTGCAATGTTTTGTCAATTTTCACAAAGGAGCCACAACCGGAGCCTGGCGGACCTGATGCGTCTCAGCTCTGAGCTCTTCGACGAGCCCCCTCCCCAGACACGAAGCGGCCAAAAGAGAGCTTCAGAAGACCATGAACTACGAAGTACTTCAGCGGGGGGCAGGGGGGGAGGGCGGAGCCACATTCTGAAGCGTGCTCCTTATGTGTCGCTTTCGAGCTCGGCTACTGATGCTCGTCAGCTTCCTGTACCTTGCAAGACCGTTCGACCCTCCCGACTCGGCCTCAACGCCAAACTCTGCTTGCGACATCTTGCGACGACAGGCGCAACGGACCAAATCCTGCGCGACCATTCAGCCAGTCCCTAAAGCTGTGCAGCATTTTGCAGACCATCCGCAGCCGTCTGGATGCTGTATCCCGCGTACGAAACGAGGCCAGATGAGCATCATCATCTCAGATGGCCGCTTCAACAAGAACAAAGTACGCCCATGGGTTTGGCACCCAGTCTTGCACAGTGACCTCGATAAGCTCCGGCTACGGCACAATTTTGCAACAGCAGCGCTTGTGAGAGTCGCCTTGAGTGAAGCTTTCGCTGCAGAGGTTCATGCTGCACTGGCTCGGCAGCAGCTGCCGCTGCTGATCATTGTGGATGCAGAATCTGTCCGGGACTTAGCTGTGGCACAGGCTTGGAGAGGGTTGGCGTTGGTTGCCAAGGAAACTCCGGCGGCGAACGTGCGGAACTTGGGCTGCACGGCTTCGCCAGGATATGTGGATGCCTCGAAGGCCTCGGGCTCCAAACGGAGCGTCTTCGACCTGCGTGCCGTGACCTATGAGGGAGGCAACTGCCAGGCTTGGGGGGTTGCCACAAGGATGACGTCTGAGTTCCTTAGCCTTTTTGCTGCTTGCGAATGCCGAGATTCACTTCGAGATTCTGCTACTCTTAGTCTCGATTGCAGGTCGTTCCGTATTTGTCCGCCTTCCCATTCCCCTACTACTTCTCTTAGTCTCGATTGCAGGTCGTTCCGTATTTGTCCGACTTCCCATTCCCCTACTACGTGGTCGTGCAGGACTTGCGCTGACTTGCCCATTCTGGGCTCCATCAGCTGTGTTTCACCTACCATTTCAGGACTTGCAGACATTGCCAGCCATTCTCAGTGACGTGATGAAGCAGTGGTTCTGGGCTTGGCTTGCGCGGTTGTTGCTGATGACTTTGAGCAGCAGATCTAGATTCCAAACACCTCGTCACTCAATCGCTGTCCAGTGAACGACGGCATGTCGTTCTGTCGCAGTGATGCTTGTTGATGCCTCCATTGCTGTATACAAGATGCTAGGTTAAGCCCGGAGAAGCATCTTCTGCCCTTCGATTTGCTGCTCTCCAGGTTCGAACTGGCATCACATGCCTGATGATCAGGCCTCCTCCGGCCGTGCGGGTTCCAGCAGTTTAAGGGAGTGTGTTGTACTTATGTCGTAGACCACCTCCGCAGCATGCTTCGGGTCTGGCTGGAGCAGTGCCCAGCTCGCGAGGTGTTCCCTGGCGCGAGTGGGACGAGCAGGAGAGCCGCGACGCCGCGAGCCGACGAGTCGCTTCCCGGCCTCCAAGTGAGAGTCGAAAAGCACTCTGTGGGGCTTGCCCGGGCCCTGTTGCGGGCCTGCAGCAGAGTGTGGCCAAAGATGCCGCCCATGTGTGGATGCTGGTCCTGATTAGTTAGGTTTCCCACTTTTCCGACAGTTGCTTTCAGCACCAGCCGTCCTACCGTAGAAGCTGCTAGCGGCCGCCGGCGCCTGGACAAGACGCGTGAGCCCTTTGAGCGAGTGCGCACTGGGGCTGGCTTAGGACCGCTTTGGAGTTAGCCGCTCCGCAGTCTGCTTGATTCTGGAAAATGTGTTCCCCGCATTTGATTGGACATCGACCTCACTGTGAAGCCGTAGCAAAAGAGAAGGTCCGTGCTGCCCCTCTGTCTCACGCGCTTGTCTCTTAGTATTTGCGGCTTCTAAGCAGGAAGACCCGACAATGGACAAGTCTCCCCTTTTCAGCTGGACCCGTGTCAGGATAGATTAAGCTCAGACTCTCAGCCTGAGCTCGGTTCAACATCTACAAGTAGAAACACAAACCCCCCATCACAGAGTAGCACCTACATGTAGCAGTTGCCAGCCGAGTGAAACGCGGAAAGCTTGCTTTTGGAGCATGGTTACCGTGGTTACCACAGCCCGTTCATGCAGATTTAATTCGCCAGCGCGCGGCAGCGCGGCCTGCAGAATGTCTGATGGCGGCAGTGTCCCCGCTTCGCTAATGCCTTGATCCTAGCAGTCAAGGAGTTTGGGAAATTCAGACAAGAGGGCGCCGCTTGGCCCAGGTCTGATCTGGACGCCAGCAGCGAAGCTCTGCCGGCCGAAACATCGGTGCATGCCTTCTTTGTCGAGAGAGTTTCGCGTGTTGACTTTCTTTTGAAGCTGGCAGCCTTTATCCCTGCCGTGTTTTTTGTCCGAACTGCTGTCCAGACTGAGGCTGCCTCGAACAGTTATGCCCTGCCAATGGCATCCAGTTCTCGCCTAAGCGATCACAGTGGGAGCTTTTCACTCACTTTTCACGCAAGCATCTTCGAGCGTCGTTCTCCTTGCGCCATCAAGCTTCTGCTGAGGCCCGGACTCAGCCAGGGCCTGATTTGCACTCTGGGCACCTCAAGCCTCTGTAGATAGCTGCACCTTGTAAGAAGTTGTAAGCCCAACATTCTGAAGCACTGTTGCCATTCACCCTCTTTTGAGGCGCGGCTGTCAATGGACTCTCCCGCAGACGGTCCTTTGCGAGAGACCCGGAAGACAGTGCATCGCTTCTGCGAGCTGAGCTAAGGCTCGGTCCAACGGCAACAAAGGCCCCCTTTGCTTTGGATCTCAAGACAGATTTCTTAGCCTGTAAGGCTGCAGCCTGCGAGTGTGGACATTGTCGAGCCACGCCATCCCGGCATCAACGGCTTTGATCTCAGTCTGTGCATAGAGCAGGAAAGTCGGCTGAAAGGATGAAAGCCTGCCAGATTGTACGAGGTGCTCCGAAAGTGGCATCGTCCCCCTCGCAATCGCGGTGCCATGTCAACAAGTGGCAGGTCATTTCGATTTCTGCAGCAGCTTTTTTGCAGCCTGCTGGCTGCGTATCATTTCTGTCATTTAGACGCGACTGATACGAGATCTGCTTCGAACAAGCTGCTCCTCCGTCTGTGTTGCATCACTACCTGCTGCTTCATGCCTCTGGTCAGTTCCGTGGTAGATGGTGGCAGTCAGCCAGTTAGGCAAGAGCTTCCTAGGTCCTGTGAGGTCCTATGTAGTCTCGAAGTAGAAGCCTCGAGCTCCGCGAGCTCTCAGGATCCGCGAGGTCAAGGAGCGCTCTTCGCCGAGCGGGCCCAGGCGCAGGGGGTAGAGCCGGGTAGAGCGAGCTTGACGGATCATCCTCACATATACCTTTTCTTGGGTCTGAAGCCTTGGTCCTTGGTCAGTGTGGTGCCTGCCTGGTCCGCAAGCCTCGCAGGCGGCGTGTCTCGGGCCTGGCACGTCCTCCTCTCGAGGGCCGGTGGCTTCAGCGCTTCGAGGCTGGGAAGATCCCTTCTGGCTCCGAACTTCTCCGAGCATTTCTGAGCCATTCTGATCCTTCTGAGAAGAACAGCTGCAAGGCATGTCACGCTGCCTCGAGCGAGCCACAGCCTCATGCTTCCAGCAAGACATTCCACAGGTTCCACATGGACTTAAGAGGAGTTGAAGCAATTTTTTCCGTTTCCACCAGGCGACCAGCAAGCGCTACGAGCAGTACTCGAGGTGCAAGCAGTCCAGGCGGACGAGAAGAAAAGCCTTTTGGCATTGCTCTCGTTGCTCTTGTTTTTCCAGGCTCCAGTCGGTCAGATCCGGTGCCACATCGCATACTGAGGCAGGCAAAGTTTCACTCCAGACCTGTTTGGCGGGTTTCGGGGAAATCGGGGATAACCGGGTGCAGCCGTCCCTCGTCCTGTCCAGGGCGGGCGATGCAGCGCAGGTGCGTGATGACGTAGATTTCATGGTTGGAGCGTGAAAGCGGCTAGAGCTGGGATGCTGGCAGCTTCAACCACGGAGCTAGTTTGGCAAGCAGAAACTTAAAGTCATGAGCAAGCTTGGTTGGTCAGGACCATCAACGGAGGCCGACTCCGTCCAAAATCACGCGTGCTGAGGCGAATCTGCAGAAACATCTGGCATGCGAGCTAGCTTCACTGAAGAATGCCTGAGAGAAGGCAGACATAGGCAGACTGTGGATGGAGAGACTTGTTTTTCGATTTGGAATAGCTGGGCCACCAGGTCGCGAGTCGCAGTCGTGCAAAAGCTGACAGTTACGACAAGTTGGAAGAGGAGGCCTTGGACAGTTCGGGGAAGCCCATGAGCCCATTGCAGTTGATCCGATGCCATGTACCTTCCTAGAAGAGGTGCTCTCCATGATGAGTGCTTTGCAAAGGCCGTGGGAGTCCTCAGAATAGACGGGTTCTAGAATCGATCCGGTTGTGGATGCTTCTGCATGTGTCTTCCGTACAACAACGTGTCTTTGGCGTGCCACATGCCTACTCCCAGGCGAGACGTCCCGCAGCTATGGGTCACAGCCTTAAGAAATCTGCGGGCAAGCTCACGATGCGATTCGTGCCGTGCCTTCAAGGATCCATCGAAGCCCTCAGTCCCCCGAGCTGGACAAACGAATGGACGCGGCCTCGGCGTCTCAGACATGTGCACGACCTGAACCAAAGATAGCGAAGACCTGCGAAGACGCACGTAGTGGTGTAATTTTCCAGGTCGTCTCCGATCACCTTCGCCTCGGGCAGGGCACTTAGATTCAATCCCTGTTTCGGCAGGAAGAGGACCGTGACGACACGGTACTGTACAAGCTCATCCTGAAGCCATATCAGTTGTCGCGGGAAGCCTTACACTGAAGGACCCACGTCTACGCACCGCAGATCGGGCTGCTGCTCGTCTTAGCACAGACGGAGGACACACATGACACGAGGGTGAACTCTGCTTTGTGATGTTATTTCGATGTGAGCGTTTCCCTCCGTAGACGTGGCAGCACACGCGCTTGAGGAGTGAGTGTTTCCCTCTCCGCGCGTGCTCGGCAGTCTGCAGGGTCTAGCTGGCACGTTTATAGCACGTCTGAAGCACTTGTGTTACTTGTGTTGTAAACGAATTTTTGATGCCCGATTTCAAGCTGCTGTGCATTGCAAGTAGATGACACGCAACTACTGCAGGTCGGCAGAAGTGCTTTCAGCTGCTTGAAGGTATCCCGTGCATGGCCGCTCTTCGCGCCAAGTACTGACCCAGAAGGCCCCCAATGCGTCAGGATTGTATTCAAAAGAGAGTTGCAGTGCAAGCATGCCTCAACAGGGTACTTCCGCAAGATATCGTCAACAACCATGGCGCAACGGTGCATCCGAGGCGGCGGCGCCGCAGCGCTCTCGCATTAAATCTGGGCCTGCGCGTGCTCCGGTAGTTATATCGAATCGAAGGCTCTGTCCTCAAGTAGCGGCCCTCATTCTTGCAGGTACAAACAGCTTGGAGAGGACACGGCTCCCGGAGTCATCCAATCACAAGTCGGCAGGTGCCCCGGTACTCAGCTGCTGGAGTTGACCGAGGATGTGCAAAGAAAAGCTGAACTGAGGCAGAAAGCATGGAGGGCCTCATGCGGCTTTCGCACGCTCTTGGAGAGGCATTCGCTCGTTGAACTAGCAGTATGCACCAGAAAGTGCTTCGTACAGTATCCTGGCTGAAGTGAAGACAAGACGTTCTGCTAACTCCAATACAGGCTCAGCGGGCGCTGGAGCTGCAGACGGAGGTAGGGCTGAAACCCTGGGCAAACACCAGCGAGATGTAGCCGTGAAGGCATTACGCTGTCCGCAGCAGAACGATCTGCAAATTTCCAAGGCAGGTCCAGCATGGATGAGTCCCTCCCCTCCTTCGCTCCCTCCGTCTCTCCCTCCCTCTCAGTGTCTGGCCTTTTGTAAGTGCGTGTTTGTGGTTGCGAAGTCGCCAAGCTCTTGCAAATGGCTTCATGTTTCCGGAACAGGATTTTGAGCTGTTCGCTGGCAAGCTGCAGCGGCAGCTGGCAGAGGCCAGCAAAGGCTAGTAGTGTTTTGGGGCTGCAACCCCTGCTACAACCGCTGTCGCGATGTCGTGGCCACAAGCGCGCAACTACATGCGAAATTAGTCTCAGGCGCAATCTACCTCCCGGGCTCTAGGAGACTACATTGCCTGAAGCTCAGCAGGTGCGAAGATCATCTCTGCACACTCTCCGGGCCAAGGCCAAACGGCCGTCACCGCGAGCCACAGCGCGGATGCCCGACGAACCACAGGCAGCGCGGCCTGAGGCGCTGGCTGTTTGCTTGCTCACTGCAGGAGGTTCGGGGGTGGAA